GCAACGAGTAAAAAGTAACTAAGACAGAGCACTATAGGGAGGACTGGATAATTATTCCTTGAAATGTGGATTGTATTGGAATTGAAACACAAGATGAAGCTAAAACAATGTTTGGAAAAGGTCGTGGAATACACAATTCGCCCCTTAAAATGTGAACTCATATGATTGTACTTTCCCCTTCCCGTGACACCTCTTTGCTTTTTGAATCGTGTTACTTTCCAAACTGTCAAGGCTAACTACAAAGACAAGCCATGAAACGATGTTTAACTCTGTTAGACATTAGGAAAATGCAAATTAAAACCACAATGAAAATATCACCACACATCTATCAGTATGGTTGAAATAAAAAATAATAACAACATCACTTGCCGGTGTGGATGCAGAGAAATGGATGGGATGTAAATTGGCACATCTACGCTGCAAAACATTTTGGCAGTTTCTCCCAAAAATAACTGTGCAACTACAACATGACTCAGCAATTGAAGCTCTGGGCATTTATCCCAGATCACTGAAAATTTATAAGAAAAATATGTGCGAGAAGATTTATAGCCCCAAATTGGGAATAAACCCCATATGTCCTTCAAATGGTAAATGGTTAAACAATCTGTAGCATATTCATGCCATAATAGAAAGGAATACACTGTTGATACATGCAGCAACTCAGATGGATCTCAAGGGCTTTAAAAGCCAACCCTGCATGGTTACATAATAGATGATTCAATACATATAACATTTTTCAAAGGAACAACATCGAGACATGGAAACCAGATTCATGGCTACTAAGGGTTAGGAAGAGGGGCAGAAATGTGGGAGGGAAATGAATGAGATTATATAAAGACAATGTGAGGATCCTTGTGATGATGGGGAAGTTCAAGTCCAGTACCTGAACTAACATGGTGGCATGATATTACACACATGTGCCCTAACCCTACACACCTCCCATGAGAAAGAACAGGTAAAACTAGGATGATCTAAATTAGATGAGTGTATTGCGTCAATTTCAGTATCCTAGTTGTGATACTGCACTATGGTTTTGCACATTGTTACCTGGATAAAGTGGACCCAGGAACTCTGAGTTATTTTTTAGTCTGTAAGAGGATCTACAAGTATCTCAATGAAAGTGTCAATTAAAAATGCCTAGAGCACAAGATTCTCAGATCCAATTGTCTGAACTATGTTAACTAACATCAAGCCTTACAAGGTGGGCATGCACTTGTTGGTCTGGCCCTTAATTCATCCTAATGTGAATGGTCATCATGCTTCCCACCTTGCAGAAATCGGTAAGTGCATTCACTTTTTGAACTTGTACAAAACGTCTGTTCTGACATCACCACCTACCTGGGCTCACTCATTTAGCTCTGCTTTTTGACTTGAGGCACCTACTTCATTCATAGCTGAAGGGTAACAACTTTTAGTTGAAATCTGTCCCCTAGATAGGGCAGCCTTGGAGGTACACATCTTAGATGGCTCTTCCTTCAAGAATTTGCTATTTGTCTGCAGGGAGTAACATTAGTTAGCATCTTCCAGGTGTGGAATCTTTAGGATATGCTTCAGTGATTGAAGGGAGGCCACCCCCTTCCTGGGTTGTCTCCAGCCAATGAATGAGCATCCTGTGGTTACCAGCATTCAGCTTTTCTGCCCATGGGGGATGCCTTTAATGGACAGTCTTTGCTCCAGTGTTCTTCATTGAGTTCTCAACACTTTCTCAGATGCGCACTTTGATCTAAAACACTCTCCTCTGAATCTTGTTTTCGTCCCAATTTCTTTTCATGAGAATTCTATTTGCAAGACAGGCCGAAGGCTCACTTGTCCATCCTACTTTATTTCCTTTTTATCTTTCACTGGAATTACTCTCTACTGAACCAGATGTTCTCCTGACTCCTTCCCAAGGTCTGCTTGGGTCTGGAGACCAAAACTGACATACAAAAAGTACCTTTGGAAGCCTCCAGTTGTAGGTCTGAACAGTATCCGTGCTACTCCGTTCTACAAGAATTACAAATATTAAATGGTAGGGAGGTTTCTCCCTCCAACTGCTGTTTACAGTTAGGCTAGTCTGTCAGAATGTGGGTTATGGCAGCTGCTGGCTGCCGTGAAATGCAGATAAATGTGCAGAGGACAGTGGGCTTACAGGAACAGGAAGAGCTGTGTGGTTCATTGGAACAACACAGAAGTTCAAGTTCCAAGACCCCAGCTGTTACTTCTGTCATCTAATTGTTGGATTTACTAAGTTTTATATTTTTTGGAAAATAAGTGACTTTTATTAAGGTCCAGGGTCACAATCAACACAAGTCTTTCCTCATTTTTCTTAAGAAATATCTAAATGTAAGGTTTTCTTTGTAAAAATCTATGATACCTTAAAATAATTTCAAGCATGTTGGATTCTCTTGATTAAGAAAATGTCTGGGACGTCCAGGCATTCCTGGGTAGCATAGACATATTTAAGCAGAAAATGACATGCCGTGATTTGGAAACCGTGCCACTCCATATACATATTTCCTGTCTGCTTGGTGCAGGGTTTGATTTCTGTTAATTCTCTTGATTTTTCACATTTTCTGGCATGACAGGTCATGATCATGACCCTTCTGATCACAACTATAAGTCATGCTGGCAGATTCTTTGGGCTTGACAGATCACATAGAAAAATAATTATATTTAAGATTTTTCTTCTTTGATCAGTTGTGAAGGCATGTCAAGAGTACCTGAATTACTTGATTTTATAGGTCAAATTTTTTATTGCCTTTGACTATTTTATCTTTTAGTGTTCCTTTGGATTTTGAATTCATGATATTTTTAATCACTCAAGATTTATTTTGTGTAAAATGTGAGATTCAATTTCACTTTTAAACTTAATTGTCTCCAGAAGGGTCTGGGAATTGGAAGGCTGGGCAGGCTATCTACTATTAGCATTACAGTTGGGCTCACTACTTTTATTTTCAATATGGCTTGAAAAACATCAAGAATCTTTGCACTATAGGTACCTTGACTTGACGCTTACGTAATACACCTATATCCCTCATTGATTTGTCTGTTCTTTCTATCAAGTGTAAAGTACCTGCCCCATGCCAGGCATTACTCTGGCATTGGAGTTGCTAAGATGAGTAGGGCCATATCCCTGCCCTAATGAGGCTTACACATTAATGAGGAAGGCAGAGAGACTTATATGACACTGTTGATTGTTGGTAAGTACGAAGAAGAAAGTCGGGCGGGGTAGAGTGCTAGGAGTTCTAAAGCACTCTGTTTGAGAAGTTGCCATCAGAAAAGTTTTTTCAAAGAGCGCCATCTGGACAGAGGCCTGAATGGAGTGAGGGTCCCTAGGGGGATGTTGGGGGGAGCGGTCAAGGCAAAGCCTTGAGGAAGGAGCAGTGTAACGAGCTCTGGGTTGGGAGCACTGTGAGACTGGAGAAGTCACTAGAGGCAGATGCTATTGGAGTCTAGGCAATAATAATAGTTTCTAAATTGGGGTTTTCATCACCTTCATAAGGAATTACGTTTATCAGCAGTGTCAATTAGTATCTGAGTCACACTGTCAATTGATTTTTTCATTAATTAATGCTCTTTTCTCAGCACCCATTTGAGTTATCTGTTGTGCTCATTGTGCTGGCTGTGGACTGAAGATAAAATATATTTAGTCTCTGCTCTCTGATTTCTAACAGTCTGATGAGGGAATGCAGACATATATGACATTACCATTTGCCTTTGCTTGCATTAATCTCTTGGGTAAAGTGTAAACACCTTGGCAATGTTCTTAGAAACTTTATTTATTGTAAAGAAGGAATTGCAAACTAAGTGTGGGGATGCATGCTTGTTATCCTAGCACTTGGGAGGCTGAAGCAGGAGGATTTCTGTGACTTCAAGGCCAGTCTGAATCAGGTAGTGTACCCTGTCTCGAAAACCAAACAAAAAAAAAAAGCAACCAAAAAGTGAGAGTACAGCATTAGTAGCCCCCAAAATAATTCAATATATTTTATGTTTACTTCTCACAAAATGTTTTACATTACAGCCATAATATAATCCTCACCTAAAAGTATTTATCTTACGAACATCTTCCACCGTGGCTGGCACCTAGCATAAACGGTACTTTATCCTTTCTCAGCAACTACCCAAAGGTTGCTTGGATTCCTGGACATGCTCAGTGTTGAAGTAAATAGCCAAGAAGTGGCCTTTGAGTGAAGCTCTTAGGATAAGAACAGACAACTGAGGAAGGTTACTTCATATGATGGAAAGACTTTCATTGGGGCTGTCAAGATTTGTGTAGAAATGAGCTGGAATATTGTTGCAGGTACCTAAAGCAGCTGTCCAGCTGGATTTTGTGAAAATTGGAAGGAGGGAAATTAAAAGTTTTCAAAATTCAGTGTAACTCCGGCAGATTAGGACTTAGTGGCAACTTGTGCCAGTGGAACTAAAGGAAGTGGGAGTGGGGAGGGAGAGCGAGCACCATCACTGACACAGCACCAGGCGTTACCAGCTGGAGGTGTATGACAAAATCCCCCAGGTGCTTTCTCTTTGCACTGTGCAGCTTGACAATTTACCTGGTTGACTGGGTTTGTAGCTATGCACTCGGGCACTGGCAGCAAAGGGAGTGAACTCAAGGAAATCCCACAGCCGGCGTGGCTCACCACCGAGGAACTTAGGATGAGTCTGAGTTAAGCAGCTCAGCATATAGGACAGTTTGATACTTTTGTGGAACTTATAGCAGTCCCCTGTGAAATAGCCTGGAGCATGACCAAGAGGAATTACTTTCGGCAGCAAATCTATTTTTGACAAGGCGTTTCGTTATATCCCTCCTGCTGCTCTTGTATCACTCATGACATGCAATGCCTGGAAACTCAGAAGGAGTCCAGGAAGCCCGGGCTATGGGGCTGGGCTCCGCTACGAGCAGCTGCTCCTTTAATATTCCGTTTCTCTCAAGATCATTCGATGCAGAGTTATTTCGTATCTTGAGATGCCTTTTGTCTTAATTGCTTTCTTGTTGCTGGGACAAACTACGTGACACTCACAAGTTAAAAGAGAAAAGGTTTATTTTAGCTTAAAGTTGAGTGATTTCAGTCCACAGTGATGGACCAGAACCCATGGGAAACCAGACCAGAAAAGAGCTTTATTGGGCGGGAGTGGGGGTGGGGTAGACTGCCTTGTGGACCAAGATAGCTGCCAGTTTGGCCTGGGGAAAGGGTTTTTAAGGGTTGTTCTGGGGGGAGGGTCTCTGTGGGTGAACCAGGTATGGGCATCAGAGTGTGACACGGTCATCATCAGGTATCCTCCTAGACAGGACTGACTTTTGCGTTTGGAACAGTTCTGGGAAGTTTCTTTTCTTGCAACTCAAGTGTTAACAGGTGGACCACCTGGGAAGTTTCTTTTCTTACAATCCAAGCATGAACAGGCTCCGGGGGCAGGCTGGCCAGTCAGCTGGTTCCAAGGCAGGGCAGCATGGCAGAGGGGAATGGCAGAGGCAAAACAATTCATGACATGGCAAACAGGAAGCAGCTAGCAGAACAAGGGAATAGAAGGGAGATATATATCTTTAAGACCACACCCACAGTGAGGCTCCTCCTTCTCCCAGGCTTCATCGTCCAATATCATACTTGTGGTAACCCATCAATGGACTAATCCAACGTTACACACCCACACTCATGATCTAGTATCACCTCTCTAAAGCTCCACCTATGAGCTCATGAGCCTTTGGGGGATATCTAGATATAAGTTATAACACCTTTCCTATATGGAAGAACCTTCTATATTTTCTCTTTTCACATTTACTAAGTGCTTGCTTTGAAACAGCCACTCCTGATTTTGCTGGTTCAACACAAGGGGTGATCCAGTATACTAAACTCTGTTGTTTGTCTGCTCAGAAATCTCTAAATCTCATTTGTTGACTTTTGATGTTATTTCTTATGCAGTTGGGTTCTGTTCAGAAAGTTGTTGCTATGCCTAGACTGCAGGAGTTACTCTATTGTAAAAAAGAGTATGTTTGAGTCATTTGTAGAAAATTGGTACATCTTGAGACCATAATGTTAAGTGAAATAAATCATACACACAAGCTCAAATATCACATGATTGTTCTTATATGTAAATCCCAAAAATATAAATAAATGAAAGAGCAAAATAAAAGGTAGATAACAAGAAACAAAGCATAAGTCTTTTGCAAATGAGAAGGAGACCAAGAGCTAGAGAGGGAAAAGGGACATAAAAAGAATTAAGATGCATTGTGTATAGGTGCCAACCCTCCACAATGAATGTGATTATTATGTACTAATATAAGTGAAGTTAAACAAATGAAAAAAATCTCTGTTCCTAGTGCCTAAAAGTAAAGCTGTGGGTTACAGTCTTGATCCTAGAGGTTATCTGATACTTCTTCTTCCCTAGACCTTTGATGATTTTGGACCAGTATTTCCAGTGTAGCTTTTGACAGTTTGTTTTGTTCACTGCCTTATAAATCAATACAAAGTTGTATAATTTATAATTGGCACTCAATAAATATTGGATGAATGAAGACAGACAAAAAACAAAAAAATTGATCATCTAATCTACCACGTCACAGCTCCCTGGAAGGATCCAGTTTTATCTGCAGTCCTTGGTCATTAATCATAAGAAAATATGCCCAGTCTAATTGAAACAGGAAAAATGCAAATTAAAACTGCACTGCAATATCATTTTCCACTATTAGGTTGAGAAGGGTAATATTGTTTGATAGCATACCCCCTTTGCAAAGGCTTGGAGGAGCTCGCGTTGTCACATGTGGGAATGTGAACTATACAACCTCAGAGGGCAATTTCCATCAAAATAAAATTTATATGCACCCTTTGATGTATGTCTAGGAACTTTCGAGCATCCTCTGTATTACTCTAGCCCATTAATGGTGAAGCTTTTAGAGACAAGCACCCAAATTGGAACCCAAAATTCACTTATTCCTAACAAAGTGTCAACACTGCAATCAAACCTGAATAGTGACATTTTAGTTTCGAAAACACAACTCATACCTAACTTAACGTCTTTTGTCTTAAAAGAGAAACACAATAACAAGAGTGCCATAGGTTCACCACCGCTGCTCTAGGCCTTTCCCATTCCAACTCTCGGAATACTGGCTCTGTTCTCTCCACGAGTGTCCAGCATCTCACCCGGATACCTAACTCTCAGTGATGACGCCTGCTTGTCACTTCACTGAGAAAAAAGAGGTAATCAAAGGAGGACACCTACTTTCTACCGACATCCTTCCTACATCTGCATTTGTTTCTGGGAACTTTCTTCTGATTGGCTGTAATCTCTCTTCTCTTTAAAACAGGATGATGGCTTCCCCTGTCCTTTCCTCTCACAGAATGTTTCCTGTACTGACTGTTTTCAGTTCTTTTCCCGATGCCTGGTCAACTGCCTCCCTTCAGACTCTCTCTCACCATGCCACTCTAACAGTTCTTGTCAAGCACACTAGTCACCTTCGGGTAGCCAGATCAGAAGAACAACTCCTAGTCCATTTTGAATTTGATCCATCTACTTTACCTGGCATGGTGGATTGCTCCTTCTTCCTTGAAAAGCTGTCTTCACTTGGTGCCTATGTGGGAGAGCCCATCCCCCAATTCTCTTCTTATCTGACTCCTTTCCTGATTCCCCATTTTCTTCCCGACTTCTAAATGTTGCCCGTCCTCTGCTCAGTCTCTTGACATCATCTGTATTCATTCTCACTCAACCAATCCCAAGGCTTCAATAATATATATGTTGATGACTTTCAAATTAAATTTAGCTGATACTTCTGCCACAAACCCTAGACTTGTAAATCCAACTGCCTACTTGACATTTCCATTTTAATGCATAACATTCAGGGAATGCTATAATTCTTGCTTTGAAAACATGAACTTGTTCCAACACAACTGATATATTAGGAAACAATTTGACTGTAATGCAAATCTCACATATGCACAATTTTGTTAAAGAAAAACACTAGGGAAAGTACAGAAAACTTCTGCTGGGCAGAACCATATAGGAGTGTACAAAACACACATTTGCTCAACCCAGCCCTCGAACACTTACTGGATCCCTAGGTTCACCACATGCGTTAGGAACCACACCCAGTCACACCCGGCTGTCCAGAGTTCCCTCTACTTCCAGGCCATCTTCTTTCTTTCTTTTCATGGTAACCCATGAGCTGAAGCCCATTTCATGCCCAATTCCAGAAGCAAAATTCCTCTCTTCTCTTCTCCTTGTCCCTCTCCATCTTCCTCTCCCTCTTCTGTCTCCTGGGCACTGAGTATGGGACCCAGGCCACCACACTGAGCCACATCCCCAACCCTTTTGAGATGGGGCCCAGCTGTCCCTAAGTTGTCCAGGCTGAGCTTGAAGTTCCTTCAGCAGCCTCGCAGAGTGCTAGAATTACAGGCATCTTCCTATCTTTTTCATGGTAAGATGCAGCATCTATTGTATTTACATATTTCTTAACAGCTTGATGGCTCTAAACCGCTACTAAAAACACATTTTATACCAAAAATAGATTTCTAAAATTTTTATGTGTCACCAATGAAAGTTTTGATAGCCCCTAACATTATTTTCCTCTAATCCTTTGATTTTTATTGCATGATTTTGCATAGCACAGTGATTTTTTAAGAACATGTCTGTCATATTATAGCAGGACTTGTCATATTATAGCAGGACTATAGCAAGATTGTATGAAAAACTGAAATTATTTCCTTACCCCCAATCACCGCCTTACATGATGCTCCATCCTCCCAATGTAGCATCCATGTTTCTAGTTACTGAGCTCTACAACCTTGCAGTCATTTTTGGTTTTTGTCTCATTTAGCACATCCATGCAATCATTGAACCCTTCAGTGCATATCAAACTTCTTGACAATTTTTTCTTTTTCTCCACTACTATCACAGTTCAAGCCACCATCATTTCTCACTTGGATTATTGCAGTTGTTTGCTAAACGCTTGCTTTTGGGCTTTACTTTCTTGTTCACAGCCTCTGCACTTGGTGTCCCCTCTGTCCGGACTCACCTTCCCTCCAGTTATTTGTATGGGCTTACTCCTTTTGTTTTTTGTTTTTTTTTTGTGTGTGTGTCCCTGCTTGGATGTTAATTGTTCATCAGGAACATATTTCAGACTTATGTATATGCTTTATTTATTTATCATCTATTTTATCATTAGATTATCAGCCCTAAAACAGCAGTTACTTTTCCCCTTGCTGTATCTCCAATCCTAGCCATTACATGGCACAACGGTTAAGTGATCAATGGATGTTCTGGAATGAATGAGCAAAAAACACAATAGATAAAACACCTCAGTTTCTCCCAGCCCAAGAGTTATAGGTTTGTGTGTCTGGAGCCTGATCTCTGCATCTGACCTGGCCTGAGCCTTAAGGTTGGCCCCTGGGATTAAAGTCACAATATGGGGGTTTCTGGGAGGCCTTGGGGAATTTTCATCTCACTTCTTCGCACAAGTTCAGCTGAGTTAGAGGCTGCTGGTTTGTGTTTCTATGAATTCACATGAATGAATGACCAGCTACCAGATCTCTTCATTCTTTCCATGATCCCAATAAGATTACCCAGTATGGCAAGATCCGAACCTTTACAGGGCTGGGGCGACCTTCTCAACCTTCATTTCCCTAAACACTTTAGTTTTCCCTAAATATGCCTTTTTATTCATTTTGTTCCTGGAGTTCCAGCCCTCACTTACTTTCAATCTATTGCTTTTCCTCATTTTTCACTGAGGAGTCAGATAAAACACACAAACAAGAGCCACTCTGTTGGAAGTACTTTACCAACCCCCAGGAAAACTATTCTGTTCCTCACCACTTGTCAGTTAACTATGTCTTATTCCTGCTTTCGTTCCCTAGTGTACACACACACACATACACACACACACTCACACACACAAACACATAGATGGCTGGGCCGCAGACAATTTTGCACATTAATTCAGGAGTCTCAAGAACCCATTGAAATCTAGGTGTGGCGGTGCACACCTGTAATCCCAGCACTCAGGAGGTTAAGGAAGGAGGATCCCTACAAATTCAAGGTCAGCCTGGGCTACATTGTAAGTTCAAGGCCAAGCTGAACTACATAGCAGGGCCCTGTCTCACAAACAAAGGCAGTGATTTTTCTGTGTATGGTATATCTTAAAACATTCAACATACGATGCAGCGTTCCAATCTGAATTTTCTTTTGCATTGTTGTCTTTCTTTGAGCAATATACTTTATACTATCATGTTGGTCTTTCTTTTTTTCTGTGGGTGTTATGATTTCAATAAAACATCTACCCACTAAATATAATGGTGAAAACACCAGTGATAGATGTCCTGGTTGGTGTTTCACTATCCGAAATTTTCAATTTATTTGGTCTATTATACCTAATCTAAATTATAAATGACATTTGAATCCCCTTGTTTTGAATATATAACAAATGAGTTTCATATTGTTTGGTCCGGAAGGTGCATAAATATTTTATAATAATGTATTTTCCTGGGTTTTTGATTAGAAGTTGGTCAACTCTGTAAGCACCACCCTAGAATTATTATAGTCATTGACCACTATTGGAAATTTTTAGTTTCGTTTCTTCTTTCAAATTCTGTCATTCCTGTATTAAGAATAGTTGACAATAAGGTGATGTCTTTTTTGTCTTTCTGTTTCGTTTCTCTCCCCTTTCGCTTTTCCTCTCTGATCTGCTAATGTTTCTCCCTTTTTCAGTTTTCTTCTTTGGCAGATCTTTTGGTGCTCAGCCCTGTTCAGTCTCAGTGACTTAAATGTGTCCACTCTGTGTTGCAAAAGAACATCCCCGAGTTCGCGAGAAGCATAAAGATTATACCTAATGTACTTACAGTAAGAGTTTTTATAAACTGTAGCACAAGATTTTGGGTTATGTTTTATAAATAAAGTAAATATGAATTAGTAAAAGAAGTTTGTGCCACTTTATTTATTTTTTCAGTACTGGAGATTGAGCTCAGGGCATTCACATTGAACTACATCACCAGCCCTTGAATTTAGTGCTCCTCCAGCTTTATCTTCCTAGACTGCTGGGGTTGCAGATGTGCACCACTACACCTGGCTCTCTCTTTGTGAAATTTCGAGACAAGATCTGGATAACTTGACCAGGCTCACATTAAAGTTGCAATCTTCTTGCTTCAGCTTTCTGAATAGCTAGACTTGCAGGTGCGAGCTGCCATACACTAGGGTATTTTCCCCAGTGCTTTATTAGTTAAAAAAAATTAAGCATTTAATCTTAGATGAGGAAACTGAGACTCTGGAAAATTAGAATTAAATTTTCATGACCAATAGTTAACAGAGTTGGGTTTTGTCCCCAGGGATCTTGATCCAGATACCATCATAACTATAGGGGTCTCATTACTGCAGAAAGAGCACCCCTGTAGCTGGGACTCAGAAAACCTAGGTTCTAGTCCCACTGTGCTATTTTTTGTTGTTGTGTGATCTTGGGAGAAGTCTCCTGGCTGTCTCAGAACTTTGGTTTTCCCATTTGTAAAACAAAAGCAGGAAGACAAAATTAAACTCCCATGGAGAAGCAGAGGAGGGATTGAGACTTTCCTCTCACAAGAACTACTTGTGTGTGTGTCACTGTCAAGTGTATGCATAGCATGAAGGAGACCATAATTGATATCGTGACTGATCCCCTCATACCCAGAGATTCCCATAGTAGTCTTTCTATCTCTGTGCTTATAGTATGCTACATGCAATGCAAAACCTAATGTGACTTGTTTAAAATGTTTTATTTAAGGCAGTATTCAAAATATAATCAATTCTCAAGAAATATATGGAAAGAATTTATTCTCCCAATCTCACTGAAGTCCAGAGAAACTCAGAATATTTAATCAACTTGGAAAACCCCTCACATAGTTCATTCTGCCTGAAAGCGCTCTTTCTTTCTTTCTTATTGGCCTTTCTATCTCTCATTTACTCAACAGATCTCAAAATAAATGTCACATCCTTTGGGAAATCTTTCTGGATTCACTCTCTAGATTATTTTGGGACTTTCAATATGGACTTCCAAACTCCACTGGATCACGACACTTCACTTCTTTTTTTGGAAAAAGTAAATACATACTTAATTGAATATTTTGATAGCAAAGTCCCTAATGCGTGTTGAAAAATATCATCAGTGGGGGAGACTTTAAGGAAAAAAAGCACTGAAGCAAAATTGATGCACAATGAATTGTATGTATTTATATAACATTTGAGACATTTTGACTAAATGGAAGACATCCTCATACTCACATGAAGAAACATATCCATCACCTTCAAATGTTCCCTTGTTCCCGTTTGTAATCTTCCCCACCCATCTGACACTCTTCACCCACCTCCATGTGACCATTTATTTGCTTTGTGTCACTATGCATTGATTTGCATATACAAATATGACTGTGGCACATTGACTTTTTAAAATTAGGTTCTTTCACACAGCAAAATTATTTTGCTTTATTTTTAATGAACACATAACTGTACCTATTTATGGGGTACATTGTCATATTTTGATACGTGTCTATCTTGTTCAGTGATCCAATTAGAGCAATTAGTACATCCATCACCTCATATATTTTCATTTTTGAAGAGAGAACACTCAAAATTCTCCCTTGTAACTATTTTGAAATGTAAATCATTGTTAACTCTGGTCATTCTTCTCTGCAATGCAA